ATTTCAAAGACTCCGGTATGGACAGTTTGCTGTACTTCTTAGGCATCCCTTTCTTCATCACACTTTTCTACATTACAGATAGTTGGCTGCCTTCCCCACGTGTTGCCTTGTCCTTATCTAGTCTCCTCCTCCATGTAGAGTACTACTGCTTTTGGCTGTTCATCTTGTAGCCAAGCATCTCAAGGACCACTGCTGTATTTCTTTTAATATTGGCTCTGCCCTGCTGTCAAATTAAAGAGAATATTGGATCGTCTTCTGAGAAACATCTTTGAATCGTCTATTGCTGCCTACCTGTGCTTTAATAACAATCTATATTATTCATATGAGAATTCTCATTTCTGTTCCAATCTGTATTCTGGTTCCTGTACGTTATTTGCCTCAAATTACATTTGAGGTGTGAGCTACTGGGACCTATTATACAGAATTAATTTATTTGTAATAGTGGGTGGGGCATTTGTTTGTGTAGTGCCTACATACTTTATTTAGTGACTGGACTCTGGATATTTGTTCTCACATGTATAAATGCTTGTGTGTATTGTGGTGGTGCTAACCAAGACCACTGGTTGAGTAACCAAAGCCCCAGTTATCCTTTGACCTCTGAGCCACAGATGGCTGGTTATAAAGGGAGCATACATTCCCTTATTGGACATGGTCAGTGCACATGATGGGTGAGCGTCGTATGCCGTGACTGTACAACAGACTATGCTTGTGTTTGCCATTGCATAATGTGACATTGGGGGGTGGGGGCACTACAAACCCAGCTGACCTCCGGTCTCTTGCTCTGCTTTCTTCCTCTAAGTGTTGTGAAGACTCCCACCACCCCTGCATGCATTGTTTCAGCCATCCCCCGCTCAGCTCCCTGCACGTTTTCCATGCTGAGCAAGACTGTCATGAGTTTAAATGGGCTGACTCGTTTACAGTTTAATAATTAATATTTATGCAAGTAAAGTCACGAGCACAGATTTTTTTCTGCAGTGTGAAATTTTGCATCATTGGATAAACATCAGAGAATGCGTATATGCTTGTTTTTCTTCATTGCAGTCACCACATGCTCCTTTCAAGGCTAACACACATACTGATTCACTAGAGTCAAACACGCAGATACACATGCACAAAAACACATGAATACACACCAAATCTCCAACATCCAGAAGACACAATACTGTCAGTTATTTTGTCTCCTACTAATGTGAAAACAACAAGAAGAAAGAAAGGAAGGGTAAAAGCTGCCAGTATTTTTGCTTTTTTATGTGCGTGACGGTGTGCTAGTTGTTCTTCAGCAAGGAAGGAGGGACAAGAAGACTTGTAGAGGTTTGCTGACCCAATAGGTCTGGAAGAATTGCAGCCTCAGTGTGTACAGAGATACGAGAGAGAGAGAGAGAGAGAGAGAGAGAGATGGTATTTGTTCTGCTGACATCTTAGTTAACTCTCTTTGGCTTAGCTACAGTTCACAATGACCTAAAAATCACCAAATATTCATGTAAAGGTAAGCTCTCCATCACACAATTGCTCCAAAAGGTAGTCCTGTGTGATGAGCGTTTTGAGTATACAATAAACCTGCTCTGAATAGTATAGTATGTTGCAGTGATGTGGCAAAGGGTGAACCACAAGAGTCTGTCAGATTCTCATGTTGCATAAAGCGACAACACTCATTATCAATGCGTATTCAGATTGCAGGATGAAGCTCCAAATCCCTGTTAAAGCTATCTAAGTCACTTATGTAACAGTACAAGTGGAAATGCATGACTGCATAACTGGGTGCAGTCTGCAGGGAAAGGCATAATGGTTAAGTCACATTTAACAAAGGGCTTGTTTGTGCTGCAGAATTCAGCAGAGTTTTTGGATCCTCTCCGCTCTACCATAAACACATCTGTGCAGTCTGCCATGCTGCCACATATTTTTAATGTGTGAATATGACCAGGGCATGGAAGGTTTTTGGGAGCTGATCACATAAACCCGGTTTCCACAGATTCCTTTATTTGACCACCATAATGTTACATTGTCATCTCTGCCAGCGATTTAGGGTTGGTCTGGCTGAGATGGATTCTTTTATGATATACCCTGGGATCTGCCAAGTGAAACATTTGTTTTGTCTTGACTCTAGAGTCAGTTTACTCACTGTTCTTGTAGATTACAGTATTCACTCATTTGATATACTGCTGACTTTGCCCTTGAAGATATTTCTGTGTAATTCAGTTTACATTCATTGTCCATCTGCTGGAAGCAAATGTGTTGCTTAACGTGTGTGCAGTCTGCAGTGGGCAATAAATTTGGGAGCTATTTACTGCAACAGGTACTGACTCAGCACATCTCTGCTGCTCTTTTCACATACTCACCAGTGCACATAGATCAGCCTTGTAGAATGTATGTCACTGAGGTCTGTCCAGCTGTCTCTATGCCATACATGTTTTTCTGAATCTGAACAACACCTGGCACCGATCTGAAATCCTCTAGGGGACAAGGAAAACACTTTTTAAACATGTTATTATTTTTAATGGCAGATGTGCCGCTACCAAACAGAAATGTGTCAGGAGAGAAGCAGTGTGCAATTTGATCTTAACTCCAAAAATAAGAGAGTACCCCCTGATGGCCACAGCTCACTTTGAGTTCTTCAGTAGCCAAACTTATAACGATCTACAGCGGTTTGCATTTTCTATAATTTATAACACATCAAATGTATTCAGCCTTTTTGGCTCGACAACCCTTAGTGTTTGTAATGTTTGGTACAAATTGGTGTCTGGATTGTGCATTCTGTATCACTGGCATTTTGCTGTCTGCCGTGTTACTATTTGTTTTTTTGTTTGTTTGTTTGTTTTTTTGTGGCCAAGTTATCAGCTAAGATTGACTCGCTTGGTTAGAATATTTGAACACACATTTGTGTGTTCAAATATTCTAACCAAGCGAGTCAATCTTAGCTGTCTAAGACGTGTGTTAGACAGATGTCACAAGGCCCTGAGGCCCTGCACATGACCTCTAGTGAGGTCAGCTGCCCGTTGCCTCTGGTCGATCCCAACAACAGTTGCCTGGGATTTGGTGCTGTATAAATAAAATAGAATTGAATTGGTTCTTTGGGACTCTCGCCCTTCTGCTGGGTTGGACACACAGTTGTTGCCAAAATGTGTGGTCTCAGGTCTTCTCAGGTACTCTTTTGGGCTGTGGATGGCCCGATCTCCTGGATCTATCTCTGTCTGCCTTTGGCTCCTGGGGATTGTTATTGCAACTAGCCACCCTTGTAATCAAGTACATTTTGTAATTTCTCTCTCTCTCACACACAGTCAAGGAACTTGTGATGTTTGGCACAACGGTGCATTCAGATCATAATTCTGATGGCAAAATGTGCCAGACATTACAGGTCTTTTTTTTTTTTTTTTTTTTTTTTAAATTTCAAACTTTATAGCAAATGAATTTATCCTCTGCCAGGCTGTATTTGTAATATAGGACTTTAGAAAAACAAAACTAAAACTTTGTCACTTTGTCCCAAGCTTGTCCACCTCCATGTCCCACGTGTAATAAACCAAAGGTTTTGTGCATCTGTCTGCTTGTTCACTGGTTCTCCTGCTTCTTTGCAGATGTGTGTTGCTGTCCAAAGCTGCTGCGTCTGCCTTCATTCAACCTGAAGACTGTGAAGATAAAGAAGTAAAGAGCAGTTTCTCCTGTGATGTAGATGGTGAAATGGGATCATAATTCTTTTGCTTGTTAGATTGAATTCATTTGCCAGTGCTACTGATAAATGATTTGTTTCATCTTCACGATGGGAATAGATGGAACGGATAAAAGAGATGCAACAACATTTTTCATTTCACACTTGACTTGAGATGGTGACACTTTGGTCGCCAGCCTGGAACTCTGATGATATTTAATGAAAACACTGTGATGTAAGATAAAAACTGCTGCTGGAAAATTTTCACTTGATGCGGTGGAGCGTGTGTGTGAATTTTTTCGTTTTGTTTTGGGTTTTTTTTTGTTTTTCTCTAAAAAGTGACAGCTTTCTGATCTTAGGACATGATAGAAAAGCGTGTCAGCTGCTTTTTTTTCTCTGTTGGGTTTAAATTCTAGAATTAAGTAATAATAGCTGGCAAACTCTGTTAGCCACTGTAATAATTCCAGATGTTTTAAGCCTGAATTTGTGTTGTGGTCCCGTTTGCCATCTTTCCAAGCTGCTTGTAGGCTGTCTTGCAGGCCAAGGTGTCAGTCCAAGCTAGTCCTTTCAAAATTTACTAATCATTTAATCTACAATGTGCTTGTCCATCACAATCCACGACAATCAGATCTACTCAGCTGAAGGTAAAAGGGTGTATCTTCACATTTGGGAAGTGGGACCTATTCATTACACTCCACCCCCTCCTGGTCACTACTGCATGCTTTCTTACTGCAGATTGCACCACCACCTATACAACATTTTGGCTTCTTTTTTGAATATCTCTCATTGAAGTTGAACTTTAGTGACACATCACCGCTCCATGTGTCATACCTTTAAATTCAAATTTGCACCAGCTGCTTCACCATCTTTGATTTTGCATGCAACTACATGATCCAGGGTATATGGGCCTTGATAATTTAGCTTCTTCAGTATTTAAGTGTAATTATAGAAACGGGAACCATGAATGTAATTTTACCCAAATAAATTTTCCATTAATTTCAAATGAGATGGTGACTCAGCAGTTTTTTTTCTGTTCTTGGAGCTTTTGGCATGCAAAGTCACATTTTTACTGGGAACTGCAGTTGTGATGTTTGAGCAAAGAAGCAAAGCTGCTGATGTCTTTCAAATTTTAGGCAGTTTAGTTGTGCCTGGTATCAAATGTTTGAATGATTGCATTTGTAAGCAGTGGGAGATGTTAGTGCAATGACCCCCAGCTCAATATTTTGGATTCAGTTGGCTGCAGAGTTGTACTGAGCTGACTAAAAGTTGTCTTTGTAATCGTGCTACCTCCTGTTTCCCCTTTTCATTGAGCCATTCCTCACACATTCTGGGTAGATTTCATTTTTGCTTCCACTCATCAATGTTTGTTCTAATTTTCCTTGATGGCATGTTTAAAAAGATTTGCATTACAAGAACATCACATAGGTTTTGAAAAATCTGCTACTTCCTTGTTTCTTTGTTTTTCCTTTTGTTCAGTGTGTTTAAAAATTAAAAATAACAAAACCCTTATTAACGCTGACAGAGATGATTAAATTTATTTTGCCCCGGATAGGTCATGAAGCTCTTAAAACAAATGTTAATTTCCTGACCTTCTGTGATGAACATACCTCAGCTCAACTCCTTTGTTTTATTGTTTGTTAAATGTTTTATTGATAAACTGGAGATGGGTTAATTTGAAGAGGGAAACTTGAAATGACTGTTTTGTTGTTGTTTGTTTTTTAAATCAAGACTTCTGATCTATTGTTTGATTCAAATGACTCTTCTTAAAACATTATCCATATACATTCTGCTCCCGCTTTGTGCTTTCTTTTGCTGTTCAGGTTATGGAACTATTACGCCTGTCTAAACTTCAGTGACTGATGAGTCACTTGTTTTCTATGCAATCCAGCCCTGGCTAATTTGGTTGTAGCCCGTTGCTTCACATCTCTACAAACAGTTGAACACAATGAGGTCCAGAGTTTAAGTGGCTGACCCTTTGCAGCAGTCCCTCGTTCTGCCTTTGACTGCTAAAGCCATTTGAATAAATGGAAATATGTTTGCCATGTGTTTTTGTTTTTTTTATTGCCAACTACATATAGGAACTGTTTTAATAAAGGTTGGAAATGCCTCTATTCTGTGTGACTTCTTAACATTGACATCACAGCGACTGGAGTGTTGGTAGGTAAGGGGAAGTTTTTGATGACAAATATTAGGATTAAGAGTCAAGTTTATTGTCATTACACATGTATAAATACAGGGTAATAAAATACAGTTAAGTATACAGATGTTTATATTGCTATACAGAGACCAAATGAACAGATGAACTGACAAATGTAGTGTTGTATACATATGTACAGATGTTCTGTATAGCACACAGATGTACTGAGTGCTATGAATATAGCTTTCACTACTTAAACAGTAGCAGAGGTGTAGCTCTAAAGACTATAATACTGAACAGTGTACGCACTATAACAGAGACTATGCTATGTCAGTGTCCTGAGCTATAGCAGTATCCAGTGTGAGCATATGGTGGAGGCTGAGAATGAATGACAGTCATGAACTTGGTCATCGGGAGGGATGGGGGGAGGAGGAGTGTAGGAGGGTTGAGTAAGTGTGAGAAGGTTCAGCAAGGGACTGAGTTCAGTACGATGACAGCTGTGGGGAAGAAGCTGTTCCTAAACCTGCTGGTTTTACTCTGAAGGGTCCTGTAGCGACATCTGGAGGGGAGGAGCTGGAAGAGTTCATTGGCAGGATGAGAGGAGTCCCTGAGAATGATGCGTGCCCGGTGTAGACATCTCTTCTTGTGGACATCCTCAATGGCAGGAAGTGGAGTCCCGTGATGCGTTGGGCGGTTTTCACCAGTTCCCATACCAGACAGTGACACAGTTGGTCAGGATGCTTTCTATTGCACAGCGGTAGAAGTTACCCAGTATGTCAGCAGACAGGTGGATCTTCTTCAGTGTCCTCAAGAAAAAGAGGCGCTGATGAGCCTTCTTGACCAGGCTGGAGGTGTTAGTTGACCAGGACAAATTCTCAGAGATGTGGGTGCCCAAGAACTTGAAGCTGAAAACCCGTTCAAAATGTATCAATTTACTTCCGTCCATGGTCCATCCATGAACTGTCTTCTGTATATTTTAAAGTTAATATGAATTCTAAAAGTCTTCCAGAGCAGTAAGTCGTGAAATGGTGGGTAGGTAGAATAGGTCTTGAAAAAGACAAATATACTCATATTGAGATACAGTTTCAACCAGCAAGAAGTGCTTAGAAATTTGGGGAAACTAAAATCATCCATCCACTTATCCTTTACAGGGTCGCGGAGGGCGCTGGAGCCTATCCCAGCTGTCATAGGGCAAGAGGGGTACACCCTGGACAGGTCGCCAGTCTGTCGCAGGGCCAACACACAGAGACAGACAACCATTCGTGCTCACATTCACACCTATGGGCAATTTGGATTAATCAATTAACCTATCCCCACTAACTGCATGTCTTTGGACGGT